ATATGTGTGTGTATATATATATGTATATGTATATATATATATCTAGGAAACAACTTAACATGTCCATCAAAAGTTAAATAAATTAAATCATATCTCTATAGTGGAATGTTATTGAATGGTGAAAAATGATTTTATGGAAGTTTAGCTATTGACATAGGAAATATTTTTATGCAACCAATTGTACATGTGAGGAGGAAAGTACGAGAGAATATACACCAAAATGTATAAGCACACACTCAATATACTTTAGTTAAAGTTGGGCAGGAAGATTATGGTGACTTTTACTTTGCTTATTGACATTTTTCTTTTTTTTTTTTTCAATAAACCACCTTCTGTGAAATGGTCTTAAAACATTTAATAAAATAAAATACTTGATCAAGTAATTCCTCAACTCATTTACTTACTGTTCTTCTGAATTTACAACCTATATGCTTTAAATTCTTGTACTGTAATAAACTTATTTTTTTTTCAACTTGGATCTGTAATTTTTTAAATTTTTTTAATTTCTTTTCAGTGTAACAGTATTCATTGTTTTTGCACCACACCCAGTGCTCCATGCAATTCGTGCCCTCTCTAATACCCATCACCTGGCTCCCCCAACCTCCCACCCCCCACCCCTTCAAACCCCTCAGATTGTTTTTCAGAGTCCATAGTCTCTCATGGTTCACCCCCTCTTCCAATTTCCCTCAACTCCCTTCTCCTCTCCATCTCCCCTTGTCCTCCATGCTATTTGTTATGCTCCACAAATAAGTGAAACCATATGATAATTGACTCTCTCTGCTTGATTTATTTCACTCAGCATAATCTCTTCCAGTCCCGTCCATGTTGCTACAAAAGTTGGGTATTCATCCTTTCTGATGGAGGCATAATACTCCATAGTGTATATGACCACATCTTCCTTATCCATTCGTCCGTTGAAGGGCATCTTGGTTCTTTCCACAGTTTGGTGACCGTGGCCATTGCTGCTATAAACACTGGGGTACAGATGGCCCTTCTTTTCACTACATCTGTATCTTTGGGGTAAATACCCAGTAGTGCAATTGCAGGGTCATAGGGAAGCTCTATTTTTAATTTCTTGAGGAATCTCCACACTGTTCTACAAAGTGGCTGCACCAACTTGCATTCCCACCAACAGTGTGAGAGGGTTTCCCTTTCTCCACATCCCCTCCAACACATGTTCTTTCCTGTCTTGCTAATTTGGGCCATTCTAACTGGTGTAAGGTGGTATCTCAATGTGGTTTTAATTTGAATCTCCCTGATAGCTAGTGATGATGAACATTTTTTCATTTGTCTGATAGCCATTTGTATGTCTTCATTGGAGAAGTGTCTGTTCATTCTTCTGCCCATTTTTTATATGATTGTCTGTTTTGTGTGTGTTGAGCTAAAGACCACCTTGCTTAAGAATGCTTGGATCAACCAGGAGATCAAAGAAGAACTTAAACAATTCATGTAAACCAATGAGAATGAAGACACTTCAGTCCAAAACCTATGGGATACAGCAAAGGCAGTCCTAAGGGGGAAATACACAGCCATCCAAGCCTCCCTCAAAAAAATTGAAAAATCCAGAATACACCAGCTGTCTCTACACCTTAAATAACTGGAGAATCAACAACAAAACAAAACAACTCCACACATAAGATGGGAAATAATCAAGATTAGAGCAGAGATCAATGAGGTAGAAACTAGAGATACAGTAGAACGTATCAATGAAACTAGAAGTTGGTTTTTTGAAAGAATCAATAAGATCGATAAACCATTGGCCACACTAATCCAAAAGAAAAGGGAGAAAGCCCAAATTAATAAAATTATGAATGAAAATGGAGAGATCACAACTAACACCAACGAAGTAGAAACAATCATCAGAAGTTATTATCAACAGTTATATGCCAATAAGTTAAGCAACCTAGATGAATGGATGCATTCCTGGAAAACTTATTTCTTTTTACTTGCTTCATGGGATCACAGAACTATGAATTGGGAATTGGAAAACTTGGGTTCTAACCCTAGCTTTAGCACTTGTTACTAGCCTCTTGGGGAAGTCGGTGCTCACTAATGGTTATGACACTGGACAAGCATCCCTCTCTAAGCCTTAATGTTGACTAGCTCATTGGTGCTCCAGGTATGGTCTGTGGACAGATTGCATCTTATTGCCAGGAGATATGGATAAGGCTTGCCTCTTGGCCTACTGAGTCAGACGAGCATTATCACAAGATTTCCAGGTCATTTGTCTGCATGATGAAGATGGAGAACCAGGGGACCAGATCATCTGTCGATCTTGTTTCAGCTCTAAGAAGTGATACTTTATGATGAATCTTTCATAGATCTGAATCATTCAGAGCCAGGGTCTTATTGAATTATTCCCTGAGAAGTGAATTAGTTTCCTTCACTCAAACCTCTTTACTACTATAGATGCTATACATCTACATTTGTGTCTCCCTCTGGAAGTCATGGTGAGGTCACAGGCATCTTAATGTCATTCCCTATGACCAAATACAGAAATGGGAATGTCAAATCAACAGGAAAGGAAGAAAGCATTCATTATAGCAATGAGATGCTGCTTATGAAACGTTAATAGACGTGCCATGCATTGTACTAAGAATATTTAGAAAATCAGCCTATTTAAACCTCTGTATAAAACTGATATTTTATCCACTCATTACAAATGAGGAAATTTATAGATAGATAAAGATATAGATAAAAAATATAAAAATACATATAAAGCACATTCATTACACTCACATGCTCACAGAATATTATATATATATAAATACACACACACACACACACACACACACACACTGTCTCTTGGTCTGAAGGAAAGCAAATGCTGAGTGCCTTGAGCATGTAGCCCTCTCAGTCCCTAAAGAGTCATCAAGTCTACTTTAAATTCATTAACAAGATTAGAAGCTTTCCCTCCCAACCTCGTGAGAATTTAGGGCTTGTTTCTGTATACGCAAGGGAGAAGATATTCTTCACATGGACTGGAGTCAGTCACTGGCTCCCTTAGGAAAGGGCTGTAAGTGCAATTGTACCCGATGGTGGGAAGAGCACTGGACTTACAGACAGGAGATACGGATTCTAGCTATAGGCATTCCACTAATATCGTGCGACTTGGCCAGGTCACTTCACTCCCCTGAAGCTGTAATATGTCCACAATGAAACAAGAATGATAAGCCCTCCCCGGCATCCCTTACGGTGTCACTCCAGGGGACTTCACTGAATAAGTCACATAGAGCCACACAAATAGAAGCATCACTCAAACAAAGAAAATTCCATGGTGGCTTTACACTGTCGATTTAGCTAAGCTAGAACTGCATTTTCTAGAATTTCCTTTCCTATCTGTTTCCCAGTTAGAGTTAGCCACGAGAGACATTAGTGTCAGGCCTGCAGGCAGAAGTGACACCTCGGTCATTGCCGGCAGACCAGTGCAGGCCGGCAGCCACTGTGGCAGCTCGTGTTCTCAGCTGCTTCACCTGACAGCATGGGGCAACTTCAGGCCCATCAGCAGAGGCAAAGACGACAGCTTTGCAGAACCACCCCCCCCCGCCCCCAGCCAGACCTCATAACTGCACCCTCTTCTGAGCACGATGCCTCTCTTACTCCGCACCACTCATGGTTGTTATCTCATCAAGCTGTGACTGATACATCATCATTACCAAAGAGGAGACGACTTTAAGGGGGTGCTTTGATTTCCTTCCCAGATGTACCTTACAACTTAATTTTGCTTATTCAATAAAGTTCACAGGCTTTGGAAAACAAACCATATGCTCCGCATATGTTAACACACACACACACACACACACCCCACACACCCCACACACACTGAGTCAACTTAGTTAAACTTTTATCTTAACCAAAGATGTTCTAAAAACTACCAAATCAGGATTTGTTAAAGCTTTATATATTGTCACATCTTAGCCACAATTTATTCATAAGATTGAGTTGAAAAAAAAATTTTTTTCAAAATGTGTCCCATGTATTGCTTCAAAAATGAGATGGTCTCCATTGCCACACTGTGCAATCCCATTTATCGACCGACTGATTGTGGCCTGTGAGCCAGCAATTACTGTGTTAACAAGAACCCTGAAGGATTAGGAAAGAACACTGATAAGTAGGAAGGACAGTTTGAGAGAGACAAAGTACTCAAACCCAGGAAGCACTCTCCACTTGATCTAAATGGTAGAGGTTCAAAATTTCTTTTCTTTTCTTTTTCTTTTTTTTTTTTTAAGAGAAAGAGTGAGCAGGGAGGGGCAGAGGGAAAAGGAGAGAGACTCTCCTGTAGACTCGATGCCCAGGGCAGAGCCTGACATGGGGCCCGATCCCAAACCCCCCAGATCATGACCTGAGCCAAAATCAAGAGTCAGATGCTCAACAGAATGAACCACCCGGGCGCCCCATTCTTTTTTATATCTAGACATACAAACTCCATATCCATTACTCATTCTTCCATTTGCTCTCTCAGCTCCAATGCTCAGGAGAAAGAGCTCAGATCCAGACAGCAGGCAAGGGTTTGGGATTTTGAAGTGCTACTCCCACACTATAATCCCAGTATCCCAGTGTAGACCCTGAGGTTCAACCTATTCTCAGCAAGGCTTTCTACTCCATCACCCCATCTTTTTCAAACATGCAGCAAATACCCACTCTGCGCACACAGATTTATATTCCAGCTGCTTGGATTTTCTCTCCACAGGTCATTAATCTGTGGAGATCAAGGTTAACACGAACACAGGACTGAGGAGCCAAAGATCCATGGAAACCGGATAACCAGCTTCTCCTCAACACTACATGGTTATCAAAATTGGACACAACTTCTCTGAAGTTCAGCTCCTTCACCTATAAAATGCGACAAGGATAGCTACTTCATGGTTATTATGACTGTTAGGTAACAAATGTGAAAATACTTGGTAAAACTTGCACCATGTATAATGATATTAGAATATTTTAAAGAGTAGTCTTGTGTAGTATTTTAGAACGTCAAACTGTAGCCTCAAAAATTTTACCCGTGTAGCGAAGTACTTCCGTGAGACAAAAGGTCGGTGATAAGGATTGGGGTAGAGTGTTGATTCAGTCACACTTGGCTGCCTTGAAATCTGCCTTGGCTCCGGGTCCTTGCCTGGGTCCCTCTCCTCCATGGACAGCTGGTCAGTCTCAGAGGGTTGGTCATCTCCCTCTTGCTTCAGAGACACAGGGTGGAATCCCTCAAAACTCCTAATCGTTGACATTTCTTCTACCTAAAACAAGGGAAAAAAAACAATCTTCTCAGTAGAAAAAAAGGAGGGGAAAGAAGTCACCTCTGTCCTTTGCTCCGGCAAAAAGTTGGCAGTGTGCAAATGATGTTCCTGAAACTGACAAAAGCACCCACACGTTCACTAAACAAAGGCACTAATGAATCAGTTCAATAACACAGACACCACCACCCTGTTAGGCCATTTAGTGGGGGGGGTGTAGGAGGGGTGGGAAGCAGAGACCCTCTAGACAGACAAAAGGTGGCTGTAAGTAGATCCTTCCCCCGCCCCCCCCCCACCCCGCCTTGAATCCCAAAGGACAGGAAGCGGAGTATGGAGATGGGAGTTTAATAATTACCAAGCAATCGATCTTCAAGATTTCATAGAATTTTTGCTTAAAAACCCATCAGCCTGACAACTTATTTAACACTTAAAAGGAATGATAATGCACCTTTTCCTATGCTGCTTGGGTAGTAATAGGGCACAAAAGCACTTAGAACTGAGCATATTTTAACTCAAAAAACAATTCCAAAATTTTATCCTAAGGAAATAATGTAGACAAATGCCCAAAGACATCAATATAGAAGGTAGTTCATCACATGTGTCTAATAGCAGAAAAATACACAACTTTATGTCTAATAGCAAAACATTGTGTGTAACAGTCACATTAGACACTCATGCAATACTGTTTCTTTTTTTTTCTAATATTTTTATTTATTTGACAGACAGATCACAGGTAGGCAGAGAGGCAGGCAGAGAGAGAGAGGAGGAAGCAGGCTCCCCGCTGAGCAGAGAGCCCGATGTGAGGCTCGATCCCAGGACCCTGGGATCATGACCTGAGCTGAAGGCAGAGGCTTTAACCACTGAGCCACCCAGGCGCCCCTGCAATACTGTTTCTAATACCAAAAGAATATAGTAAAACGAAGAACCAGTCAGTAGGGAATTGGTTAAATACATTATATCATAAAGTGAAATATAATGTAGTCATTAAAAATGTAAGTGCATATTTTTATCATGGAAATCTATCCAAAATATATTGTTAATGAAAAAAGATTATGAATAACTATGAATTATTATATTCAAATGGGTTAAAAATAATTCAAAAAGACAAAAAAGAAAGAAGAAAGGAAACTGGAAGTTGAATATGTATATACATGTATTATGTGGCAGGGTTAGAAAATATCTAAAAAGAAATAAAATAGAATATTCATGGTTATTTCTGGATGATAGGTGATTTTCATTTTTTGTTTTTATAAGTCTCTGGATGCTTGCAATGATTATATATGACTCAAATAAAAACACAATAAACTTAATCTATTTTATAAATACACAGCACTATTGAACAAAATAAATAGAAAGCACACCCACTCTAGTAAAAAGCGCCCCCACATCAGGTCACCATTTCCAAGCTGAGACCAGATAGTCTGGCCTGCAGTAAGTACACTGTCCAGGCTACACAGAAGATGGGTTTTGTGCCCTGCTTCACTGTGACTGGGAACGCCATCTTAATCTCAAAGCTGCTTCAGTGTTTCTAATCAGATAAATCCCATCTCCTCAATTCCTGTGAAACACTAGACCATGAGAAACAGCCCCAACCCCAGCAAGTGTACATTCTTAACATTGGAATTAGAGTATTCAAGAGAGGTAAAAATAGTATGAGCATATAACCTGTTGCCTAAAGCTGGACACTTTGGAGCATGAAAAGCGCACTATTAACAATTATGTCAGAATGAGAGGAGTAAACAGGGATTCTCTCAGACAGAGGTGGACGTACCCAGTCACCCTGCGATGTTTGAATGCAAGAGAAAACACAGCTGGTCAGGGGACTCTGCAGGTCACATGACAGGTCCCCCGTTGAATCCTCCCAGCAACCCTACAAGATGGTTTTACCTGTATCTCTCTGGGAATCACAGCATTTAGGGACCCACCCAGGGCACACTCAGATAGCTGTGGGGGCATCCGGATGCCCACCCTGGGCTCCCAACTGGGCTTCCAGACCAGTCCAGCACGCCCATCCTGAGGCATGCTGTGTTATAGCAGGATGGCTTTGCTGATCTTCAGTAATTTTTTTAAGTTAAATGCACAAAATGCAGCGATTGGCCTGTAGGAAATACAAGGCACACCCATAGAAGCAGGAGAAATCATGTGTGCGTGCATTTTGTGTGTGTGTGTGTATGTGTGTGTGAGAGAGAGAGATAGAGAGAGAGACAGAGACAGAGCAATCAGTGAAGTACTTCAGCCTCCCTGGCAGGTCTGCCGCCTCAACCACCCAGCGGGCTGTTAGCAGGAAGAGTGTTTCTGGAGTTCCCTGTAACCTGTTAAGGAAGGTTTGTGCCTTTGGGGGAAGGAAAGCCTGCTTCTGTATTTGCCACACTCTGTGAACGCATGCCTCACAACAGACATCTGCAGAAGGCTCCTGTGCCTGGAAAACAGGGGGAGGACTTAATTTGCACCACTTCCTCTCCCTCAGGCTGTCTTCTCTGGAAACACTCTGGGAAGAGAATTCAGAGCACTTTGAGACCAAGCTGTTTGAGATCCAGGAAAGAGGGAAACTCAGCTCCAGTTCAATTCTTAACAGCCATGAGTCGTGGAAAATGGAGTCTGGCCACCTTAATCCAGGATGATTCCAGTTCGGCTCTGGTCACAGGGACATCTTTGCGAGAACAGCAAATGTAACTTCCTCTACAACCTCCCTGATATGAGAGGAGCGCCCACATCGAAGGGGCCAGCTCCACTCCTCATCACCCTCCGCCCAGACAATATATCTCCCCAACTCAACAGATAAGCTTTTCTACCTCTGCCTGAATAGTGGACATTGAAATATTAAAAGCGTATTAATACTGAAAACAAATCCAGACAAATTCAAATGTTTTTGCTGCTTCACATGGATAAAGCATGCCTTGCGACAGACCCATTCGGGGCCACTTATAATTTAAAAAGATCATTATTCTCTAACACTCCATGGAATCTTAAGTATTAGCATTTAGTACTCAAGTCGCACAATTTCTGAGGGAAGTAAGGTCAAAGCTTAGAAAAGATGTCCATGCTTTTTGACCTGATCTCATTCCAGAAAATTCTAAAGAAGCAAAAGGGAGTCACATTAATTGCTTATTGTGGGAGGTAATGAAAAACTAGAAATCAAGTAAACACCGAACAGCCAAGGAGTTGCAAAGTCTGTCCAATTGATAGCCTGCAGACATTTAAAATAACATGCATAACCACTGTCAGAGCAAGGAAGTGAAGGATGTATCTTCCCAGGTGAAAAAAAAAAAAAAATCAAAAGCAAAAAAAGATTTTCTCTAGATAGGATGATTGGAATAATTTTTTACATCGATAAAGACCATAAGGAAAATACTTAGATTTATTGAGGTAGTTGGATTGAAAGTGATTTTTTTGCTTTAAAAAAAAATTAAGTTGTGTTAGTGCTGCTTTTGTAATAAAACATACAACGTTTAGTAAATATGTTGATTTGTGAACTCTGGAGACTTTCTGATATAATATGAAACTGGCCCCCGACACAGAGGGCAAGGAGAGATCAGACAAAGAGCAGTAAGTGGCCGGTTTAACAGGCAAGAGAACTTAATGTGAGTTGTCTTCGGTGCTTCAAAACAGGCACCTCTCTGCATATGCTAGCTAGAACCATAAAAGTTTATTTAGTTTTTAAAGATAGATTTATTTATTTGCTTGCTTATTTATTTATTTGTCAAAGAGAGAGCACAAGCAGGGAGAGCAGCAGGCAGAGGGAAAGGGTTAGAAGAAGGCTCCCCACTGAGCAGAGAACCCGATGTGGGACTCGATTCCAGGACCCTGAGATCATGACCTGAGCTGAAGGCAGACACTTAACCAACTGAGCCACCCAGGTATCCTGCCTTTTTTTTTTTTTTTTTTTTTAGTTTTTCATAATCTTAAAAGTTTATAGACATGGCATACTTGGATTCCATCATATATAAGGTCAATATGGTCTCAGCAACACCTCCACTCTCTTTCTCTCTCTCTCTCTCTCTCTCAGCTGTGTCCCGTCTCTCCTCAGCTGTGGCTCCCACTGTGGGAATAGTGGGTGGAATGTACATTTCAAGGGCAGGGGATGGGGGAGAATTTTCCAACTGCCCTGGGGCTAGCTAGCTCGAAGGTCAACTAGTGGTCATATCTTCTGCATGACCTTCAATGTAATGCCAAGTAAATATCTAAAGGAGCGTGATTCTTCCTTCAATCAGATGATAAGTCTTCTATATTTTTCAGCTGCCAGCAAATTCAGAGCTAAATTTAATACAGTATTGCAGTAAATAACTTATTTCTGGGTCCTCATCTAAGTATACCTGCCTCACCGTATACATGCTTTCATCTATCTCTCTACGATCTTTTCTGATAGTATTTCAGAAGCACATGGGGCATAAATTGTGGCTGGAAAATCAATGTCTAGTGCAACTCCTTCATTTTGCAAACTTTGGAACCCTCAGGTGAGGGCCTCACCCAAGGAGCTAAATAGAATCAAAACAAGACTTCGGATTCTTGTTCACTGCTTCAAGTTAGAGCACTTAGAAGAGAAGCCGAGAAACAGTTACCAAATTTACATGTTGATCAATTGGAAACACTTTTGCGGAATGTCTCAGTCAGTCAGCTCTGCTTTGCTCTGGGCTGGGAGCTAAAACTCCCAGGAAGCAACTTCTCCTGCATCCCCAGCAGGTACCCAGCACTCAACCCCAGGAGCTAAAGCTTTCTCCTCTACCTCGCATCAGGTTGACTTATCTGTTAAGTATGACAGGTACAGTGCCTATGGTCCACAAACCTTTTAGGGGCTCAGGAAACATGTCAATTTATTTTAATATCTGAAAAGAGAGTTTTTATGGTCAAAAGAAATGTTTTGACTTAACCACACTATTTGATGACATAGAAATGTAAGTTTTAATATTGACAATGTTATGGTGGAGAGGCCCATAAAGACAAAAGAGTTTTAGTCTCATAGAAATGATAATGTGACCCCTAATCAAAGCTCCATCCTACTGACA